CCCCAAAACCCCAAAACCCCAAAACCCCAAAACCCCAATTAAAATATTTAAGGTTGAAATAATTTATAGAAAGTAAGTATGAAGTTTCATTTTTGATGCGCTCGTTACAGTAATTTGGTCAAAGAAATTAAGACCTCCTTTAAAATTTGAGTAACAACTTCAGTTTTAGAAGTTACCAACAGAATATTATTCATAGAGTCCATTTGTAAGATTTTAGTTATGTTTTGAAAATGTTTTTGCTCTTAGGAGCACATCGAGCCCAAGAAAAAGCGAAATCTAAGACCTCTTCGTTTCTCAAAATAAGGTAAAGGAAACAAGTTTTTATCTCGAACTTGATGTTTTATGAAGAAGGTTGGATAAGATAGTATTGAGGTTTTATTATTACTTTATTCTTAAATTCTGTTCTTTCCGACTCAAATCATCAGAAATTCGTTCTTAAACTAACTTCTTAAAAATAAATACCAGAACTGTTTCTGAATTTCATGTAAGAAATAATCTAGAGTATGCATATTTTTTATTTCTGAAGTGGTTAAATTTGGCTGATTCTCTGGGTGAAATAGTATTATCAAACAGCTCTTCATTCCCTACCAGATTTTTTCCATTTTAATTCTATTATTCTTGACAATAATTATTGCTTAACAAAACTTTGGTAATAGGAAGTTAATTTATTAAAGAATCTAATTGATCCGAGTATATTTATCAAGGTTGTATTATTTCTCATAATATAAACAAGTTTTTCTTATAAATCCTGTATAATTTAAGAGGCGCATATACCTAATTAGCCAAAAATTTAGAGAGTTTAAGCCTAACATCAATATATTTAGGGCGTATCTATCCTTTTCCAAACTGTCACTTTTATTACACTCTCATAATGAAATTCTTTTATGATTAATTTTTGTTTAAAGGCTTATAATTATTTTAGGCTAGACTGATTCCACCACTTCCAAAGATGAAAAGAAAGAAAGTAAGTGTCTTTATCTTAAGTCAACAATTTCTTAGATTAAATACCTCTAAATTTTGGCAATTGTCATGATACTCCATCTGTCGTTTTTGTGAAGATAAACTCAGCAAATTTTCTGAAAGAAAGAGACTTTTGTTTAAAGTCCATTAAAGCAAGTGGAAAGTTTTACTCTTTTGAAACTTATTTCATCAAATATAGATATCATATAAATTGATAAACCCAAAAATTAAAAATATAATCTGTGAAGTAAGCTTCTCTGTCAAAGATTTAGATCTCACCAACTTACAAGGGGAACCGTAGGTTACTTTTACTTGAAGTGAATAAACGGTGAAAAGATTTGTATATTGTTCATATAATATTCAGGGGAATTGACACAATAAATGAAACACGTAATGGCTTTTAATAAGAAATAGAGCTGAATAATATTCTATGTATGTAAATTAATTTCAGACTTTTACCAATACAAAAAAGGTTAAGCAGTGTTAGAATATTTGTTAAATTTTACTTAATCTTTAAACCAATTATTTTCAAGCTTCAATTAAGTACTTTAATGGCTATATATGACTCACATACTTTAGCTCGCATAAAAGAAGGTGGCATTTCCCATAAGAAAATCAGGTAAACGTCATTTTTGAATTGAAACACTATTGAAGATTCCTTCAGTGAAAATAGGCAGCTAACGACTAAAACAAGTCAAATTCTACAATTTTTACTTGAGATAATTTTCAAACTCAGTGTTATATAAGTTTGATAGATTTAGAATAAATCAGAAGGTATTTGGGTTAATATATGCTTAAAATTGAACCATTTTAATTTAAATTAAGCTCTCTAATGAGCATTCTTCTTAGAAATATTAAGAATCAAGAAGAAATAATGCCTAAAATTCAATGTAGTTTTAAAAAGGCTATGAGATTCCTAAGAGCAATTATATGCAAAATTCTTTGTTAAAAGTAATTAAGATCAAATGTAGTAAATATTTTAAGCTTTATACTTTATGACTTTAAAGTGTAAAAGAGTCATGAATTTAAAAAATAAAAATTGAGATTTTAAAGAATTCTTTATAATTAAACTGTCCCTTTACTACATAAACATGATTTATCTACCAAATTGAACCCCTGTGGTACTTTCTGTTTGAAAGATAATTTTCGCTAGTCACCAAAATTAACTATCAAATGAAGCTCATCTCATGCTATAGGATACTGGAGCCTTCAGGACAAATGCGCAAAAACTCAGTATGTTGCTTATTTGTAAAAGGTCCTAAACAAAACTTCACTGTATCTTTGGGCAATCATATGTCTGACCCTGCTGTTCAAGAAAGTGAAACTTTACGTGGGATCATTGAAGATATTACAACATTTTAAGGAGCAAAAATAATGCACAGATTTAGTTGGCTCTCAATCTCCCATAAATATATGCAAAGCTATTATGGTTTCATATAGATCTTCGCTAAACGGATGCAAAGGATTACAGGTGAATGGAACAACCCTTCCCCTGAGATAAATTGTTATGAATCTGAAGAAGTGTAAGCCTCTAATTTTTCAACTATAAATCATTTTGATAAATTCCCAAAAGTATTTTGTTAAAGTATTAAAGATAGAAAGAAAATATAGTCGTAGATTTTTCACAGTTTGTTCTTAAAGACGAAACAAGCTTTGGATATCTGGCTTGTGCTTGTCAATACCAAAGTCATAATTTTACTGGAAAAATAGCTCAGCTCTTGCTAGATCAGTTACTATCTTAAGCGTTTTTAGAAAAGAGAAAAATGATGATGTAGAGAAGAGAGCTTCGTGTGATAAAATTATATCTCTAGACAGCTATAGCGAATATGTGGATCAAAATAGCAATATTTTCCCACAAATCCCTAGAGAAGCTAATCGTATTAAACAAATGCTAGTTTTTGGTAAAAGGAGCCCTGAGCTTGTAAGAAAAAGCTCAAGTGAAGATTCAGAAGAAAAATACTACTTTAATATGGTCAAGTTTGAAGCTGAAAATCAAGACAATGAGCATTGAGGAATGTTCAAGATTTATAAGAATGAAGGTCTTGAAAGTTAAATCTCTTAATTATTTGAAATAACAAATAATGAGAGGAGTTTGAAAGTGAAATATTAGATTAAATCATTAGGATGAAATAAACTCAGGTTGAGCTCCAAGAACATAGATTTTAAAAATATAGGTTTGGAAGTAAGAAAAAATGGAACACCATCAAAAGAATAGAGTTAAAAATAATATTTTTTTATAAGATGCTCAAAACTTGTTGCTGTTCTCTTCAAATGCTATTCTCAGAATTCAAGCTTTAAGATCGTTAATGAAATGTTAGGTTTTTTCTTCTTCCTAAAATCAGAACTGATCAGTCCAAAACAAAGAGGATGTGGAATAATTTAGTCTTAAAATATTCCTTATCTTCAATACCTCATTAAATCATTTTTCTATCAAAACTCTCTAAAAGCCTCACCTATTTTCAATTTCTTAAAAGGGTACTGGGGTTTTGGGGTTTTGGGGTTTTGGGGTTTTGGGGTTTTGGGG